CGCCCAATTTGAAAAGTGTGGCGGTTGGTGATCTATAACTATTAGAGGGCTGGATGCCATTAGTCCATCCGTCGTCTTGATCGTTCCGAGTTGTTCGGTTCCGCTGGCAGCTGTGTCGCCGTGTTATGCTGCCCGATTGCAACAAAAGGAGGTTAGGCGGCTTCCCCAGCGCGTGTTCTAGGTGCTGAATGCCGCTGTTCACGCACAAACGTTCATGAGTGGATAACGCACGTAACAGAGGTGAGCACAGGCAATAGTTAATCGAGAGCCACACGGAGCGCGAGTGCGATACCTCCTAGCCGCTGTCGACAGAGGGTGTCGGAGCGATTCGTTGTCAACTTGTCCACGGCAAGTGGGCGTTTTGTTCAATAAAGCCAGCCTGTGAGTGTTTTGTAAAGCTATCCCTTCTTTATAAGCGCTTCTGATGCGATGAAAATGCGACCGGCATTGAGCAGGCCGAGCGAGACTTCGGCGACAGTCTCGGCTGTTCAGTCTCCAGCGGTTTCGGCCTTACTCGTATTATTTGCGGTGTTGGCGCTTGGACATAGAGACGTTTGGAAAGTTTTTTGCGCCTACAGATGACACCAAACGAGCGTGCGAGCCGTATGCTCTTGCTCCGGCGAGAAGCCGCGTACGGCTCGCCAGGCTCGTATCGCCTGTCGCATACTGGCCGCCATATTGTTTTTAGGGTGTTAGCAGTTAACACGATTTTCACCACCTCCGGCGGCTAACACCCTTACACGAATAAAGGCGTTAGCCAGAGGACGAGCCATTTACACGAATAAGGGTGTAAAAATTTTAAGTGTGTACGAGCGAAGCGGTTTGGATTAGCCGGTTTTTATGAAAAACGCGTTGCGTTCCAACGCCAAGATCGTTCCACATGCGGCGGCGCCGAAAGAACGCTTCGGTCGTCTCACTCAGTCCTTTCTAGTACACTCTACGAAGGTGGCGCTGCGATCGAAGTCGCTTAGGTCCACCTGATCGCTTTCCACATTTTGAGGTGCAACTGAAAGCGTGTCGCTTTCAGTTGCACCCCACCTTTCCGTCCTCCCCAAATGTTTAAACAGCACGTGACAAAGCAAAGCAATTTTACATACGCTTCCTAACACCGAATCTAATGCTGAGGAAGTCACACTTTTGAATCAAGATGATTGGCAGTTGCGCCTGCTCTGCACAAGCACCAAAAACGCGGCGCCCACAACAGTGTCGGGGAACGGAACGCCAATATTCTGAGCGCAGCTCATTTAGTGGCTCTAGGTCGAGCGATTCCGACAAGTCATAGTCTGATTGCGAAAAAGATTTTTGCAGTCGGTAAAACATCGAATTGTTTTGGCATACGTGCGCAATTCAAACAGGCGGAGTCCTTTCGTGGCGTCCATTTCCTTTGGATCGCGCCTGGCATGTCTGTAGGTTTGCACGAAAGGCTTCTGTGCGCTGCCATTGTGAGCCATTCTGGCGCCACGTAATGTTTCCGCCATGTTGAGGTGGGGAAGGGGCGCGTCATTGAGGTGGGCGAGGACAAGATGGCGGCGTCTGCTGCACCGCCGATGGCCAACGTTTGGGCACGTTAGCGCCCTAACGTCGGCCAGCGCTGTTTTGAAACGCTGGCCGTTGTATCCACTCACAATCGTGGCTTCAAATATTCTATGATGGGGCATGTTTAATGGTTGGAGCTGACTTTATAACGATCGAATCCTTTAATCGAACGTCGTGAAATCCAGCGCTACATCGAGCGCTGCCATCGTTCATGCAATGGCCATGAGGATCCTGATGTCCCTCCAGTTTGCAATCTTTGGAAGTGTTTAATTTTTTTTTTAATTGAATGAAAATGGCTACGCAGCTGGTGCTAAAAACGTTTCCAAAGAGAATAAAGGTTCGTTCTTTTTTTTATTATTGTATTCCTTAAAATGTATCCTTCCCTTTCGCAAAAGACGTTTGACAACATTGCAAAACATTGTACGACATGTAGCGATCGCCCTGGCTGTAGATTAGGTCCGCCACATAAATCCAAAATTATTCTTATTTATCGACTCCAGTCTATGTGGAAAATTTGTGATGTCACTACAAAAATGTCTATAGCAGATTGATCAAACTTGTTAAATTCTAGTTCATTCTTGTTAAGGATGACGTATCATTGAGAGTCGGGGCAGGACGGGCTCTAAGACCGAGTAGACCGCAAAAGAACATGGAAACAGACAGTACTTAACAAAAGTTATGAATTAATACTTCCTTTTACAACCTTATATAAAAAGATGAAATCGTGTAAACGTCTCCTATCAAGCAAAGTGCTCCACCCTAGTCTTTTGATGTAGTATATTACAGTAGTAGTAACACTTGCGCCTGAAGGGCCTGTCATAGATTATGCCTATCAAGCGTCTTTAAACACGCTCATTAGAGTTTGACGCAGTGTGTTCAACACAATTCCAAACAAAAAAGGGAAGTCCTGCTTTGTACGCACTAAGCAGCAAAATAAACGCACAAGAGAAACAGTCGAATAAAATTGCCTCGTAAAACGAGATATCGCCCCAAGGTTCCTAAGGGAGGCATTACCATATAGTCCAAACATTATTATCAAAATTTAAAGATTAATCCACAAAACGTTTTTGATGACGAATGACGGACACTCAGGCTATGACACTGCTGTGCATTCTGTAAGAAAACACAAGTGAATCTCGCTTTCTAGTCAGACATGTGTTTTCTCCTGTGCTCACTAAGCAAAAGACAGTTATTCGATTACCAGCTTGAAATTTCCAACACGTTATCTCGAAGAAGTTGGCACTCTGAGTACGAACAAATACATTACAACAGTTTGATGTCGTCGTCAAATAAAACCCACAGGTCTATTATCCCTAGACGACTTGAAGGCGAAAGCCCAAGCGCCGATGTACACGTAATAGCGAACATCCGAAGACAGCGCGTTCTCTAGCAACGCACTTTTGGCGCCGTTTCATTGACTCACTCGGATCGGGGCGTTGGCTGTGGTCCCTGTGATAGCGAACGTCCGAAGACAGCGCGTTCTTTGACGACGTACCTTAGGCTTGTTTTCGTCGTTTTCGTTCTATCGACGTGTTTTCGCTCAAGGACTTGGAAGGTCGACTGAACGATGAGACATATAAGGCTTTCACCTTAATAATGCTTCAGAGTTCTTCACGCTATTGGGCAGGAGATCGAACTATAGAAGGCGCTTTATCGAGTTTGTTCCCCCCACAGCCCGGTGTTTACTCACACAGTATAACAAAGGAATTGAATCTCGCGAGCGCGGTCTGGGCACGAGCGCTTCCTTCTTACCAGTGCTTCAGTCGCACAAGGAAATGCCTTCGAATCGTGATCTTTAATTTTTCGGATCAAAAACAAACAAGAAAATACGTTTTGTTGTCCCCACAGATGAAGCGTACCGCTAGAGGCGTGGCTGTTCGATCTCCTCCCCAATAAAAGATGTCGCTCACAAAAAGCAAGAATAAAAGTGCACCAAGGATGGCTCCTTGGGGCACTTCGGAAGGCGACAGAAGTGAACAGACCTGAGCCCTGACACACGAACATAATTTCTACCACATGAGAGATAATGTTTAAACCGATGGCAGTACGTCGGACACTAATTTCGACTGTCTAGTTTGGTCAGAAGAGTATTGTGATTAACCTTAGTGAATACCTTCTTGATATCAAAATATATTTAATCGACTTGTGCGTAGTCGCGAACAAATGAAACTTTATATTCTAAAAAAGTGCAAAGATCAGATTCAACTGACTCGTCCTTCAAAAATCCGTGTTTCTCGGTGTTTATTTTTAGGCTAAAGTAACTGGCATAAGCGCTTGTATATTTACAGGGGTGACCAAGCTGCGGCTCGCGAGCCGCATGCGGCTCTTCGCTTGTTAAAGTGCGGCTCGCGGCTCCCTCCTCACCCCTCCCCCCCCCAAAAAAAAAAGAAATGGAACGCGTTTTACATTGAAAGACAGCTTGCGGTTTGGTAGTCTTGTGCTACTGCTACGTTGCGTATAATTAGACTGTTTTTGACTCTTATAGATTATTGCTCTAGCCAAAAGTTTGTCCCCCCCCCCCCCCCCCCCCCCCCGGCTCTTGGAAGTTGTGTGGTTTGGTTTGCGGCTCTCAGGCCGGGTCAGCCTGGCCACCCCTGGTATATTATCATCTTAAAAACCTTGGGAGAACTGTACAGTAACGTTTAGCGAAAGCATAATAATTATTTCATGGCCTTTTTAAGGAGGATTCACCCACGATTTAACTGCTGCCTGTTCCTAATAAACAAGTTGTTCCCAGCTGCGCTTGCAGCTCGGACGGTCGGGTTTGGCTCGGGCCACGGGCTCTCTCGCGCCGACCTAGATGAGCTAGGTTTTGTTCTAAAGCTCCTGTATCCTGGGAAAGCTGGCGCCATTCATTTTTGTAGAAATGCTCGAGACACGTGCCGCGCGTCACTTCTGCGAAATTCATGGCGTCTGAAATCTAGCTCAGTGCTGCGCTGTGCCGTCATGATCGTCCCAAGGGCTGCATGTTGCACGTGCCTTGTGCATCGACGTACCTTGCGCTACATTTGAAAGATGAAGGGGCTTTATTTTGTTCGCCCGGAGACCGCCGCCACCGGCAGTCCTTGACTGACTTTGATTTCCGACCGCCAAAATATTTGGAACCATGGCCGAGCCCTTCAACCGTATTCAATGAACACCCCGTTTTCTGATGGTATTGTGCTTTGATATTGTGATATCGTGCCAAGTGACGTCGTGCGGTGACGCGCAGGACCAGCGACAAGCCGGCGGTGTGATATCGTACCAAGTGACGTCGTGCGGTGACGTGCAGGACGGGCAGGCGAGCGTGCGCCTTTCCTTCTCTTTCCTTCTCTTAAGCGTCGATAAGCATCGGCGCTGAACTATTTAAGCCGCGCTATCGCTTGAAATAAACCTTCTTGTTGTTGGAGCTGCTGTCTCTGCTTGGTCACTACATTGGCGACGAGGCACGGTCTGGCCCGTGCGGGCCGCTGGAAACAGGCGTGATGGCGTTGGGTGGCCGCATTTCGGAGTTTGACGTTCATGGAAATTCGACATGGGAAGAATACGTCGAGCGCATCGAACTGTACTGTGCCGTCAACAAGGTGTTGGAGGCCGTGGACAAGAGGGCGGTGCTGCTGAGTGCAGCTAGCAGCAGCTTGTGGTCGACGATACAACTGCCGAACTGCTCACGATAAACACCGTACAAGGGCTCTACAAAGTTCGCCGCCTACCGTACGGCGTATCTGTGGCACCAGGACTGTTTCAAAGGGCAATGGACACTATCCTTGCTGGGCTACCTAAAATAGCTGTGTACCTGGACGATATCCTGGTGGTTAGCGAAACGGCCAAGGAGCATGAACGCATGCTCACGGATGTATTCGAACGCCTAGATAAGGCTGGACTCAGAGTGCAAGCAAACAAATGCGAGTTGTTTCAGGAAAGCCTCGAGTTCCTGGGTCATCGCATCGATAAGTGTGGCATCTACCCTTCCGAGGTGAAAGTCGAGGCCATCCATAAAGCCCCGGCCCCAACTAACAAGAAGGAACTCCAGTCCTTCTTGGGTATGGTGAATTTTTACAACATTTTTTTGCGGGGCAGATCCGAAATAGCCGAGAAGCTGCACCGTTTACTTGATGACAATGCTACCTGGAAATGGGACGAAGAGCACCAACGGGCGTTTGAAGGCTTAAAAAAATTGTTAACATCGCAGTCCTTGCTTGTTCATTTTAACGAAAGTGCTCCGTTGATAATCTCCTGTGATGCGTCTCCGGTGGGTGTGGGTGCTGTACTCGCTCACTGTGACGAGACGGCAAAGGAGCAACCCATTGCCTATGCGTCAAGGACGTTAACAAAGGCTGAGCGGAATTATGCTCAAATAGACCGAGAAGCATTAGCCGTGGTGTTTGGAGTGCGTCACTTTCATCAGTACCTAGCCGGGCGAAAATTTGTTATTCTTACGGACCACAAACCGCTGCTAGGAATATTTCGGCGAGAGAAACAAATACCGGATGTTCTGTCACCACGCATGCTACGATGGAGCCTAATGCTGTCGGCCTACGAATACCAGCTTGACTACCGCAAAACTCAGGACCATGCGAACGCTGATTGCTTGAGCAGGCTTCCGGTACCAGCATTTCGGTTGGAAGCAGAAACGCCGGGCGACGTATTGCTTTTCGAAGCCGCTGAGTACCCGCCAGTCACCGCCGCAGAAGTTGCTGGCTGCACGTCGCAAGACAGTCGGCTATCGGAAGTAAGGAAATGGATCATCGACGGCTGGCCAAAAGAAGGGGTACCGGAAGACTACGGTGCGTACGAGATAAGGCAGAACGAACTGTCCGTGCATCGTGACTGTGTGGTTTGGGCAAACCGCGTGCTAATCCCTGAGGTGCTGCAAAAACGTGTCCTCATCTTGATACATGCTAATCACCCGGGAGTGACGGCAATGAAAGCTATCGCGAGGTCCTACGTTTGGTGGCCGAAGATGGATGCGCAGATCGAAGAATTTGTGCGGCACTGCAAGGCGTGCCAGGAAAACCGGCAAAGTGAGCCGAAAGCGCCTACGCATTTCTGGACGAAACCGGAGCGAGCATGGAGCCGAGTGCATATCGATTTTGCGGGTCCTGTCGATGGTGCGGTTTTCCTAGTCGCAGTTGATGCTTTCTCAAACTGGGCGGAGGTGGAAATAATGACGTCAATGCACTCATCTGCAGTGATCGAGCGGCTGCGTAAGATGTTTGCAACATACAGACTGCCAGATTTGATTGTTTCAGATAATGGCACGGCGTTTACTAGCCGGGACATGCAGTCCTTTTTGAAGTTGAACGGCATTGAGTACATGTATACTGCTCCCTACCACCCTGCGAGTAATGGGAGAGCAGAACGCATGGTTCGGGAGCTAAAGTGTGCACTGAGAAAGCAGAGGCAAGGCTCTCTAGCCTGCAAGGTGTCTCGCTTCTTGTTCAAGCAACATTCCACGCCGCACTCGGAATCCGGCAAGAACCCAGCTGAGCTTATGCTGGGCGGGAGCCTGCGCTCGGGCCTGTCAAAACTTCACCCCGATGCGATGGACGTGGAGTGCAAACGGCAGCCTCCAGAACAAAGCTTTCAGTGCGGTGACTCTGTCTACGCAAGGAATTTTCGCCAAGGTCCGAAGTGGTTGGCTGCTCGTGTGCTACGGCGTCGGGGTCACGTCATGTACGAGGTCCAGACATCCGACGGGAGTATCCATCGACGCCACCGGAACCACGTGCGAAGGGCCTGGGAACCAACAACTCCAATGACGAAAATAATCCCTGGAGAAGGGGAACAAGAGGGACAAAGGACAAACACAAACTCGTCATTTTCGTCATTCTTGTCCAGCTCGCTTGCACCTTTGCATTTAATTGCATTATAATAATAATAACAACAACTCCAACCGGCGGGACAACAGCTTCGTTTGCCCTTCCGGGAACGCCCGGTTCGGAGCCTGGCCCTCTTGAGGCCGGGGTTTCCCTTCCGGGCCCGTCAAGTCTGGGGGCGAGGTCACCTGCGGTTGAGACTCCCGTATTGAGGCGTTCTTCCCGCCAGCGTCGCCCGGTGCACCGATACGGCATAGATGACTAGGGGGGAGGGATGTGATATCGTGCCAAGTGACGTCATGCGGTGACGCGCAGGACCAGCGACAAGCCGGCGGTGTGATATCGTACCAAGTGACGTCGTGCGGTGACGTGCAGGACGGGCAGGCGAGCGTGCGCCTTTCCTTCTCTTTCCTTCTCTTAAGCGTCGATAAGCATCGGCGCTGAACTATTTAAGCCGCGCTATCGCTTGAAATAAACCTTCTTGTTGTTGGAGCTGCTGTCTCTGCTTGGTCACTACAGATATTGCACTCGGGCTTTTGTTTTTGCAGTTGCGTCATTGGAGTGCAGATGGAGTCGCCCACGCAACTGGCGCTTTGGCATCCTCCATCGGTTTCGGCGGACTTCATCGCTCGTTTGTTGTATGAAGATTGGTAACCACGAATACGCGGCGGCGTGTTGTAATATGTATTTGCACGGCGAATTTTGAGCTTGGCTCTGCAGAATTCAACCTTTAGACTCGAGCCTGTGTGAGTAAAGTCAGATCAGACACGGGTCAAGGTCGTAGGTGAAAAGGGGTTCTGACTGTGGCGCCATTTTCAGCGCTGTTCGTACGGAGAGTACTTAGCTCGCTTTCGGAATCGACGAACATGGGCATGATTAGCCACGAAAACAGCACGCTGAACTGTGCGACCTTCCCTACGCAGTAATTTGCAAACAAGAAGGTACTAGCCGGTGCGATCTTCAGTGTCCGTGCGTATGGCGGGTGCTTTTCTCTCTTTCCGTAGCGACGAACAAGCATGTGCTGGCCTCTATATATGCTCTATCTCGTTACATTTGGGCTAAAAATATACCTCCAAGTTTTTTTATGTTTTTGTTTTCTTGCGGTAGACTGAAAAGCACCTTTTTGGTGAAAGTGGGCTCAGACTTCATAATATAAACCCTCCAAAGAACGCCCTCAACAATCGAATGTCAGTTTGCCTAGAATGTATAACGCACACGAAGTTACTAAAACTGGGGCAAAAAAATTGGAAGCGACATTGACCTTTAGGATCATATGCATAAAATGCGTCAAGGCGTCACTTGACGTATATTTTCCCTCTAAATTTAGCGGGGAAACTGAATGGTTGTATAGGACACGTGGGGTCTGGTCGCATGACGTCGATGTCCCCCGTTGAACTTAGCGAGGAAACTGGATTGGTGCCCAGATCACAAGGCGTAAATTTTCCCGCTAAATTTAGCGCGTAACCGAAAAGGTATATAGGTCATGTGACGTAAATTTTTCGTAAATTTTGTCAGGAAAACAAAATTGATATTTGGGTCGCAAGGCGTGAAATTTTCCGCTAAATTTAGTGGGGAAACTGAACAGACGTATAGGTCACGTGCCGTCAATTTCTCTAAGAGGCAAAGGTTATGTGACGTCAAATGACGTCACGTGACGCCACTTTCTCATCAAATTCAGCGGGGAAACTGAATTAGTGTATAAGTCACACGACGTCAATTTTTCCGCAGCGGGGAGATTGAATTGGTCTTTATGTCCCGCGATGTCAGGTCAGGTGACACCAATTTTGCCGATAAATTCACTTGAGGAACTGCATTCACATGTATACAGGGTCTGCGTGCTACATCCGACCGTCGTGATAGGGGGAAAGAGATGCTTCCGTTCTCTTACGTTTACTTGTGTTTGGGGGGTGTTTGAGTGTGGTGCTTTTAAGTCGCCGACGCGTGCCGGCACGAACAAAATGGCACAAGGGAAGTTATTTTGATTATCTCGAGACGAGGGACGCCTCCAACGCCGCAGAGCCTGGGTGATCGCAGGATGACGGCATTGGCAGACTGTGCTACTCTGCTTCAATGTGCTGCCGACAGATATGGCGCAATGCGACAATCGCGAAATGTGGCGCTGGCGCCGTAGCAGATCGAACGGCCCATATTCGCACAACGATGGGTCATAAGGGCACGTACAAATGCTATGTGCACGGTGATATGGGACACAAACCTTCAGCCCCGAGGCAAACAAGTCAAAACACTAGAAAATTGTGCATTAAAGTGACTATCGTTAAGCTAAAAGAAGGGTAATAAAACTGTCGGAAGATCGTCAGCTGAAACCAAGGCCTCGCTGGGCGACCCCTGTGGGGAAGCTGGGCGCGCATCTATGGCGTCTAAAATGGGTAGGCGCCCACCGTCGATAGCTTGGCGCAGACGAAGGAGCTGAACACGTTTAGGGATTTGTATGTTTTGAGTAGTTCACAAGTGCATGAACCAGGCGAGTCGAAAAGGTAGCCGTGAAGATGCACCCACGATGCCTTCGGCAGATTTTTCATTTGTTTGAGCATAGCCTCGTCTATACTGACAAAGCCTGGCAGATCGTCAGGTGACGCGGCCTCCGAAATCGAAAAGATACAGCGGCAGTCAAGAGACTACAAGAGTGATGTAACGGGCGCTCTGCGGCGGCGAGACGCAGAAACACATTTTTCCCGAAGGATGGAACGTCCGGTCGTGCTTCTCGCGTTCCTCGGGTTACCGCTTATTTCTTATCGGGTTTGAAGACCATGTTTCGGATCCTCGCCGCTGCTAAAGCTGTGCGCTGAACACCTGACTCCTCGAGAAATCCTCGGTGCTACCAAATCCTAACGCTCTAAACCTGCCACCGGGCTCTCTATAGATGGTTCCGTCACCGAACTGCCAGGCTTTGGGAGTATAGAGGAGGCTATGGTTTGAGGGACAAGTGCTCTTTCTCGTCATAGAAGGCGCCAATATTTCTTCGTGTTTACCTTTGGTCCGCCTGTATAGGTCTTGTGATATAATCTTCCCCGATAACTTCAGCGGGAAATGCCCGAACGGACGGACGTACAATATTTGGAATCGGGGATAGCGTGAAAAAGCACTTGATTCTTTAAGAAGGAAGAATAAAAAAATCGTCACCTGCAAGAGTAGAAGAATAGGCGCCTCCTGGGGGTAAAGCAGGCAGTTTGATAAATTTTCCTTTTGTTCCAGAAACAAATAACCAGCCGTCGGCTGGCCAAAGCAACATACGTTTTGCGCAAGACTCGTCAAAATATTAGGCAGTGTAGAAAATCAGCCGTCTGCATTAAATCATTATTTTCAACTCTTTTTTCAACGTTCGCCCCTAGAAGAGCTGTTCGACAGAGCCCAAGTACGCACCTGATCTCGATACACCACCGTCAGTTTACGCAAAAGTAAGGAGATTTTTTGGGGTTCGTAACACTTACCTGTGCAGACACGTATCTTTTTAAACACTAATATTAAGGAAGGACAGATTATAATAGCATTGTGTCATTTCCTATAATTTTAAAAAAAGTGAGAGAGTAAAGGCGCTCACTTGCATTTGATGGGACCCTCCCCCCAACACACACACACTCACACACACGCACAAGCCATGTTTCACTAGCCAAAGTGTCTGTGTCAAAACAAAATATCGTCAACGATGGACAGATTCAGACTGGTTCGTCTATTTTGAATCAGGGTCCGCTAATGAGGGTCTCTCTCCGTGGGTGCACTTCATCCTACGATTTTTTTTAAACTTTTTTGAGGCTTGTATGTTTTCGTTTTATTCGCACCCCACCGAACGTTGTCCACTCTTTCCCAGACAAACAAGTACACGCTTTCCCGGGAGATAGTGGCCCCTTCATTGTTTACTTTATCTATCGACCGCATTTTTGGCAAGATGAAATTCTCTAACCGCTCTCTCACACTGGAAGCGGATCCGCATTCGCAAAGCGGTTGCGAACTCGGTTCTATAAAGATCGAGTACAATTTTGCGCGCACTCGATGACATCAAGTGCGCGTGCAATTGTACTGCATTTTTAAACAACCGCGTTCGCAAAGCGGTTGCGAACGCATATGCAGGACCCGCGGTTGCGCGTACGCGTTCGCAAAGCGGTTGCGCGTTCGCAACCGCTTTGCGAACGCGTTTCCGGTTCTAGTGTGAATGACCGGTAAAGCGGTCTTCGGAGAGACAGCTTTTTCTTGGCGTGAAGGAGAATCTTTTTTCCGAGAGATACCTTTTAGGACAGTAATTTGCTTGCGCAAAAGACTCTATGATGCAGTTCTTGGTGTCACAAACCTATTCAAACTATACTCTGCGGTCGCATACGTTTATGCATGTCCGCCTTCGCAAAAACTAAGATGCGGACCCGCGGATATCTGGATCCGAACTCCATCTGCAGGCCCTGGAAATCCACATCCGATCGACAAACCGTCAGATCTGATTCAATTTTCTTCCCGTCAGTTGATTCCAGATATCGGTGGATGACCCTCGAGTAGTCCGCGCATATGCAGGACACTTGACATAATGCATGCGGGTCTGAGAATAGAGGCCGCCTCGTGGCTAGTTCAGTGAGGGTTGCGTTCTGGGTCAACACAAAAATATATAGAAATAGTCTTTCTTCTAACGAAGGTTGAGTTATTCTCATTCGATGACATCTCTATTTCTAACCGGCTCCGGGGTTCTCGGCATTTACAAAAAACAGGGAGCGCTATATCTAACCCATGGTGGGTCCAGACATTTAAAAAAAAATTAAATAACTAAACTCAAACAATGTTTATAGCTCTATAGTCTTTCATATGGCAGGCCGGGGGTTGATGCAAAATGGCAGCTTTCCTCCCCCCCCCCCCGCTCACCCCCGCCTTGGGATTTCAGGGGATTGACGACTCATTCCTTCGGTGGCGTACTCCGCGGCAAAACTTC